ACTAATACTATGTGTCGGTTCGTGACACCCGATCCATCAACCTCATTTTTTTTGTTCATCAAGCCTTCTTTTATACCAAGGCATCATCATTAACAAAAAGGTTTTAAGATTTAAGATTCAACAGCCTCATCATGCTTATTTTATCACAATTATGAAATCACATCATGCAAGCACACAATTAAGCATATAGAATACTTTACAATACTACCCAACACATATCATTCGCTATTAAGAGTTTACTATGGAATAGTATAAAAACCATAACCTACCTCCACCGAAGAATTCGCGATCAAGCAATCTACTTCTCCAAAGCTTTGCTTCCCTCTTCGTTCCTCTCTCTCGCGCTCATTCGTCCCTCTATTTCTCTTTTTCTGATTCCAACCCTTTTGTCTTTTACCCTAATTACCATATAATTAAGTATAAAAGGTGACCAAAGTAACCCACTAATTAATTCAATGTTATCTCCTTTAACCCCCAAGTAATTGAATTATTAACATTCAACCACTAACTTTATAATTATAAGCAGGAATAGTCCAAAACGCCCCTTAAAATATTTAACAGAAATCCGACCCCGTCAAGGTTACGCAGCTTGTGACAGCCCGCCGTGCCTGCGACGGTCCGTCCTGCTGCTTCCATCACAAAGTTCAGAGACTCAATTCATTAAAGAGTCTGTGACGGTCCGTCGTGCCCACGACGGTCCGTCCTGCCATGTCGTCGCGAAGTTCAGAGTGTTGTTCTCAGTACCCAATTTTTCAGAATTCTAAGTGTTTTGGAACGAGACCCCCTCGACGGTCCGTCCTGCCCATGACGGTCCGTCGTGGGATCCGTCGACCCAGACAGTTATTACCAGAATAAACTCTACTGCTCAAAACGGCTAAACAGGTCGTTACAATAGATACCAATTTACCCATCATTCGTCCCCGAACGATCACAAGAAGAAAAATAAGGACGAAAAGGAGTACCTGAATCTGTAAACAAGTATGGGTATCTTTCTTGCATATCGGCCTCCTTCTCCCAAGTGGACTCTTCAACGGGTCGATTCTTCCATTGAACTTTGATGGATGCAATCTCCCCTGATCTCAACTTGCGGACTTCTCTATCCAAAATGGCAACAGGCTCCTCCTCATAAGACAAATTCTCATCAAGAAGGACTGAATCCCAACGAATGATGTAGTTTCCATCACCATGGTATCTTTTCAGCATAGACACATGAAATACCGGGTGCACTCTTGACAGTCCTGGGGGTAAAGCTAATTCATAAGCTACCTCCCCCACGCGCTTCAAAACTTCAAATGGACCAATATACCTCGAACTAAGCTTACCTCGCTTACCAAACCGCATCACCCTTTTCATGGGTGAAACCTTATGCAAAACTTGCTCGCCCTCCATAAACTCCAAGTCTCTAACCTTTCGATCTGCATATTCTTTCTGCCTACTTTGAGCCGCTAGAAGCTTTTCCTGAATGCTTTTCACTTTATCTAACGATTCCCTCAAAAGGTCAGTACCCCAAGGTCTAACTTCAAATGCATCAAACCACCCAATGGGAGACCTACATCTTCTCCCATATAGTGCCTCAAATGGGGCCATATCAATACTTGAGTGATAGCTATTGTTTGTATGAGAACTCTGCTAAAGGTAAGAAGTTATCCCAATGACCACCAAACTCTATCACACATGCACGAAGCACATCCTCCAAAACCTGAATCGTTCGCTCAGACTGACCATCGGTCTGAGGGTGAAATGCAGTACTAAGATCCAATCTAGTACCTAACTCAGCATGCAATGTTTTCCAAAACTTAGAAGTAAACTGCGCACCTCTATCTGATATGATGGAGAGTGGAACTCCATGCAATCGAACAATTTCTGAGATGTAAATTTTGGCTAACTTCTCTGCATTATAAGTCACCTTGACCGAAACGAAATGAGCAGACTTAGTTAATCTGTCAACAATCACCCAAATAGAGTCATACTTACCCATCGTCTTTGGAAGACCAACCACGAAGTCCATTGCAATTCTCTCCCACTTCCATTCAGGAATGGGCATTCTCTGAAGTGTCCCTCCAGGCCTCTGGTGTTCATACTTTACCTGCTGACAATTCGGGCATTGAGCAACAAAATCAACAATGTCACGCTTCATCCTACTCCACCAAAAATGTTGATTTAGGTCACGATACATCTTGGTTGCACCAGGATGTATAGAATACCTTGAACTATGAACCTCCGTAAGAATAACGTGAATCAATTCATCGACGCGGGGTACACATACCCTTCCCTTAATCCTCAAAATACCTTCCTCATTGCGAAGTTCAGAGAGTTGTTCTCAGTACCCAATTTTTCAGAATTCTAAGTGTTTTGGAACGAGACCCCCTCGACGGTACGTCGTGCCCATGATGGTCCGTCATGGGATCCGTCGACCCAGGCAGTTATTACCAGAATAAACTCTACTGCTCAAAACGGCTAAACAGGTCGTTACATTATGTTTTTTGAAAATCAATTTGATTATTTTTCAAAGTTAAATTAGATTAACATTATTTTGAAATCTTAAAAAAATCAATGTTCAAAAACTATACTAAAAGTATTTTAAATTGCATATTTTTATATATCAATATGATTAAAAAAAACATATCATATAATGTTAGTTAAATTTCTTATCATTTGACTCTAAAATAAAAACTACGACACTAAAAATAGACAATTAAACTTATAAAAATATTAGTTATTTTTTACTACAATCCACGAAGTTCACACTTCGTAATACTTCTACTTCACACTAAAAAAAGTTATAAACAGTTAAAATTCTATAAATAAAAAAATATTCATATTTTCGTAATTCAATTCGTCATTTTTTTTATAATTGACATATAAATAACTAATAATTATAAATTATAACATTATTCTTTATCTTTCAAGTTATAACCATAAAAATTATAGGTTGTAACATTTTAGTAAAATAAAAAAATGATTTAAAATAACAATAAAAATTAATTAGTGTGAAAATCAAATAAGGTAAAAACATATATATTAGTAGCAAATAATTTGAATTCATTAATGATTATTAATATGTCATAAAATAGGAGATTCATAAAAAATATATATTTGTTTTCCTTGTTTGACTCGAAGAAAATTCGTTCAAAACACATTATTTTTTGAACGTTTCTATCTCTTTTCAATTTTTCTCTCTAGTTAGTTCATCTAATTTTTATTCGTTTTTATTCAATAATTTTCATTTTCTTTTAATGAACGAAAAAATAATGCATGGTGGTAAATTGGGTAATTCAAGTTAGTGTTCTTTGCAATTTTTCATTTGTATTGGTATACTACCAAACATTAAAAAAAATTTAAGACCAATAATACTGAAAAAAAATATTCAGATTTTGTTTGTGTATAATATTTAACTATGACGTTTTTGGAATGAACATTTATTTTTTGAAATTAAATAAAATTTGTTTTAAAATGGTATATATATTGGTATGAACATTTTTTGTTTATGTTTCTGGTTAAAAAAATTGCATAAAGTTCCATTTGAAATTGGTATACTGATTTTACTATGTTGGTACAATTTTGGCATTATATTGAAATGAATTTTGTGTACTCATTATCTAATAAATGACTATTAATAGTTAAATTACTTTCTCAATTTAAAAAAATGATGATCTAATTTGACTTGAAACGGAGTTTAAGAAAAGAAAGAAGTTTTTCTAATTTTGTGGTTCTAAACTAAAGTTATATCAAATGTACCAAAATACATTTTAATCTTGTGATCTTAAACATGCCACATGAAAAGTTAAAATTAAAGCATTGCCAAAAAAGATGAATCATTCTTTTTGAAATAAAATAAAAAGAAAATAGTGACCTTTTTTTTAAACGGAGGAAATAATGTTAATTTGGTATCGTATTGACATAATTCTATTGTGAAAAAATGACAACTTATGTGAGGAAATACTCATAATTTAAGCATGAAATGTGCATAAAAATTGTATGATTTGTATACTGATTTCATATTTTGTTGCCTAAACTAATTAAATAATGACAATTTTTTTAAAAATCTAATTTTATTTTGATATGAATATTGGATTTGTTGATTATTCATTTATTTGTATGACTCATTTTTTATTTGATGTGAAATAGTAAAAACGGAACATGAATCAAGGTAAATTTTCTAAAAATAGGTAAGAGATAATTGTGATTGATTCTTTATATCAACTAATAATAAAAATGTAATTATAAAACATGAATTTATTAATAAAGTGGAAAAATAGATTTATAAATAAAAATGATCTGTAATAACACACAGTTAAAATATTATAAGTAATAATATTAGAAAAGTAAATCTAAAATCAGTAATATTAACCCTTAAATATTAAATTCAAAATAACTCAATTTTATATTTTTTGAAATAGAAATATGTGTCATCCCGTATATAGTGAAACCGAGCATCCATCACAATAATTCCTATTCGATTCATTATGATATAGTTCAACAATCCGATCAAACCATTCTATTCATTTTTGGTACCTATTCATTCTAATTTGGTGTCTAGCCTTAGTTTTAATCATAACATATAATTGTAGCTTTCGTATTTATATGTTTTTATTGATATAATATCTCACTATATTTCTTATTTCACTGTATCAAAACATTTACGATTAATCTTTTTGTTCCACCATATTGTGCCAAATTATTGTACTTGTGAAAAGTCTTATTTATTTCATAAATATTTTTTATTGGGAAATTAAAAAATTAAGCATTAACGACCAGCATAGCCTACCCTAGAGAAGAGTAAAAGGGGAAGATAATATTGAGTTTGATCTACTTCCAAGTTCCAAGACCTACGGAGCACATAGTCCATAGACCTTTCAGTTTTCACCTTTTCACTGACAAAATAAAATAAAATAAATAAGACCTTTCACCTACCTTGTAAATCAAATGAAATGACACGCCTTCATCATTTATTACAAGTAATAATAGTATTAGTTTTCCCGCCTTTTCACTTGCTATACTTATATCGCTATAATAGAAAACCAAAAAACTTAAGAGAAAAAAAAATGACAGAAAATTCAACCACAGGTGCAGCAAATTGTAGTGTGGAGTTTGTGAGAGAAGAAGAGGAGATAGTGTCAAACAAAAGGAAAAACGATGATATCGATGTCACAAGGTTTCTCTATAATGATACTCCTTCCGATGGATATTATCAAGAGAAAACTCCTTCTCCCAAGCCCAAGAGGAAGATGAATCTGAAATCCAAACCTCCTCTGTTTTCAAAAGTGTGGAGTGATGAAGATGAGGTTTCCCTACTCAAAGGTATCATTAAGTTCAAGGAACAAACAGCTTGTGAAATCACGCAATGTATGACAGAATTTCGTGCATTTATCCTTCCATCACTTACTCTTCAACCTACGCGTGTTCAATTGAGAGAGAAAATAAGACGTCTAAAAAAAAGGTATGAAAAGACTCTTGCCACAGGAAATTCTTCTAATACAGACGTGCACCAACTCGAACTGTTCCAGTTATGTCGCATAATTTGGACTCAACCTCCTAACTCTCTACTGCTAAAGGAGAAGCGAGAAGATGGGCTTCAGGTAAAGGAGAAACACAACAATCCAGAGCTGGAAAAGCAGAATATACAGGTAAATGAGAAGAAGCACAATATTCCACAAAAAGGGCAGCCGGAAAAGCAGGAGAGGAAGCACAACATGCGGCCAATTCAGCAGCAT